AGTCCAGTCCCATCCTGAGGCTTGAACTCAAGGCCTAGGTACTGTCCCTTAGCTTTTCTACTTAAGGCTATCTCTCTACCACTTGAGCTACAGCTCCACCTTTGGGTTTTTGCTGGTTAATTGGATATGAATCTCATGAACTTTTCCTGCCCAGGCTGGCTTTGTCCTGATCCTCAGATCTCAACCTCCTGCACTCAGTATAAAACCAGAACTTGAGACAAAGACCTAATATCCAAAATATGCAAGAAGCTCAAGAAACTAACCCCCCCCCCCCAAACTTAATAAACCAATCACTAAATGAGCAAGGAAGCTAAGGAGAGACTTTTCAGAAGTTCTGAAGAGGGAAGAATGGCAAAGAAACACAGGAGGAAATGTTCACCATCCTACCATAAAGGAAATGAAAATCAGAACTGGAACTTTTAATAGCTCATTTTAGCTTAGTCTCCCCAGCCAGCTGCCCAGCAGCCCAGCGCCCAGCAACCACCTGAGATGTGACAACATTGCTGACCATGACATGTCCACTGCAATCACATCTAAGCACTGAATTGAGTGCCACCTCCATTCTCCCAGAGTCAGCCTGGGTCTGCAGCCTACAGACCTCTCTGTGGGCTGCTCGGTGTGTTTAGGGGCCATGTAAGAAGAATGTTCAGGTCAGTCACAAATGCCTTTGTGTATGGTCTGATTATATGAAATGTCCAGAATAGACAAATCTAGAAAGGCAAGAAGCAAATTAATCTCCGTGGGTTGAAGAATGGGGAAAGGAGTAGGAATGACCACAAGGAGTGTGGAGCTTCGCTTTAGAGTGATAGAAATTTTGGCAGGGGATTGCTGTGTGACTTTATGACACAACACAAATGCTATTGTGTTGAGTACTTTAAATGGGTGAGTGATGTAATATGTATGCCCTACTCAGCAAAGCTGAGATTCAATAAAAGACTCTTCCCAACACCTATTTTTGACTGCCAGTTTCTTGAGGCAGGTTATAAAAACCCTATTTCCATTGAGAATTAAGTGAATTTAAGAAAGTATATGGCTTATAATACGAAATGATCAAGTGTGTAGAGGAAAAGGAGTAGCCAATGAGTAGAGCGTGGTCTTTCTTGCGGTTTGTTTACAACTATCATTAGTATTCTCCCCTATGAACTAGAAGTAAGTTGCTGTCTGTTTTCTAAGTGTTTGAACTGACAGCAGTGTTAATACTGATTAATAAGATTAATAGAGACCATTCAGTCCAGCTGTTTCTTCTGTAGATCATCAGATGACAGAGCAAGGGCAATAGGAAGAGAGGAGCTAGTAGGGGACTTCAGAACCCCCAAACCTTAACCCATTACTGCAAGATTGTTATTTTTTGGCATCAAGTTCTAGCTATCCCCTTACCCCTCCCCACTGGCCTGGGCCGAAGGGGCCAGGCAGTAAGCAGACACCAAAGTGAGAAGGAAAACCACTGGCTGCAACTTTTCAACTTGAAACTTCAGATGTTTTAAGTTCCCTTTTATTTTCTTTGCCGGTCCTGGGACTTGAATTCAGGGGTTGATGTGGTTCACTGCAGTCTGCAGGACTTGTAGAAAATGTGGAGTGCTAGGTATCTTTCAGCCTTTCTTTACACTGCGTGAATTGTCAGACTCCAAGCCTGCCTGTCCTCAAGCCTCAATGGATCCACAAACACACATCTTGCTTTCTTCTTGCTTGGAGAGAGACAGCCCCTTCCCCTGTCCCTTCAGTTATAGTCAAGCAATGGACACTCTTAGTATGAGCCTAGACAGCTTTTGCAAGCTGGTTAATAAAGGGCTCTGGGCTGCATTAGCACTGTAGCTGTTTCTGATGGTGTTTTCTGCGCACTTTCCTTGGCAAAATTGAAAACATACAGACAAGCTCGATTTTTTTGTGCCAGCTGACTCACACTCTAAATTGGTATTAGAAGGTGTTTGTCACCATGGAGAAATCCATATTAACTATTCCACGGAAGTGCCTGTCGCGCTCTAGAGCTTAAGTCTACCACGTCTATTGTCCCAACTAGATACATTCTCAAGAAAGGTGAGCAACTCCTTTCTGTTCTCTAGGTCTCTGTTTTCTTCTCTGTAAATAAAGTTGTCCTGAATGCAGCTGGCATGACGTGTCATTTTCATGGGGCTCCATGTGCTCTTGTCATCTTCTCTCAAATCTCATCCCAGAAGTCCTGAACCAACATTTGCTCCTGCTGAGATGTTGGCATACTGTCTTCTGAGCAGACTCTTCTTGGGAAATAAGTGCGAGTCACCTTCAAAGGCCTATATAGACCAGTGATCTCTAGATCAGTGAGCCATGTCTCGGAGTCACTGTGGTTTTCCTATTATAAAAGGTTTCAAGTGGAACTCCTAATTCAGCTCTTCCTCACTTGAGACCAGAAATTGGGGTTCAAAGACGTATGTGAGGCTGATGAATGGCAGATGGAATAGACAGGAAAGCATATTCTAGATCCTAGACCAGTGTCCTGACATTGCATTATCCTGAGTCTAAAATATCCAAATGACTTAACCTTATTTTAAAGGCTTCAAAAAAAAAAAAAAAAGAAGACCTATGGTTATGATGTTCCATAATTGCCAAAGTTTGGCCCTGATTTTGCAAGTTGCTCTTTTCATTTGCCTTAGGCAGGAACCTTATATGTATGTATGGTTTGACTCCATTGTTAACCAGTTTCATACCTTCATATGGGAAAGTACATCAGGCTTTTCCTTCCCCACAGGGATTTTGGGAATAAAATAACATGAGCTGGATTTTGCCGGACTCTAGAATCATTCCAGGGAACAAACAATTGATGTAAACCATTAACTCTTTTGATTTTCTACTTGTCTAGCAGAACTAGTAAGCTATTATTATTATTATTATTATTCCTCCTCCTCCTCTTCTTCTTTTTCTTCTCCTCTTCTTCCTCCTCTCTTCTTCTCCTTCTCTTTCTTCTTCTCCTTCTCCTTTTCCTCTTCCTCCTTCTTCTCTTCCTCTTCCTTCTCCTCCTCCTCTTCCTCTTCCTCCTCCTTCTTTTTCTTTTTTTGTTAGCCTTTATCCACAAAAGGAAACATTGGTTTTGATTTTCCTCCAAGTAGGATGAGGTATAAAGGAAAAGGAAAAAAAATTAAGGAAAAAAAAAAGTGATATAAATGAAACTTGAGCTTTTGCAGTATAGCTATTTTCATCCTGAAAATCTTTTTCATCATTCCCAATCTAATGAATTTCAGTTTGCTTAGGAATAATTTAACACTGCCAAGTCCTGCTGGTTAAAGTCATTGGGAGTTACACTGATTTTTTTTTTAATAAGCAAAGGAAAGCAGATTCAGTTAATTGACAGTCTGGGCCCTGCTCTTGGCAGGTATGCAGGCTTGCATTGGATCTGAAATGCACTGTCTCAGGATGGATCTTTCTGCTGCAGTAATGCCAGGTCTACCCTGAGAAATGAGGATGAGCTTGTAGGCCATGCCCTTTCAAGCCCAGGGCTTCCATGAGTTTCTACATCCCTGCAAGTCAACTCTACCTGGGATGGCTCTGTCCTGCTGGATTTCATTTTAAAAGGAAGGAAAGGATAAGAAGATTGCAAAGCGCCAGGCAGAAAGGGACCCTTTCATGGAAAATCCATGAGGTACCTGCCTCTCCAAAAGCCTTGATGTTCCCGAAACTAGACCGTGTTTGATCCACTAGGTCTTTGAATGCCCCTGCTTATAGAAGAAGCTGAAGGGAGAAGCATCTTCGCCTTTGAATTCTGTACGCACAGGCCTGTGGGCCTGGGCAGATGATGAGGTCATTGCTCAAAAGCACAGTTAACAGCAATAAAGGCCAGACTTCCCTCATTTGCCTGAGGTTTGCTCTTCCCAAGAGTCTCATGACCCGGGGTGGGGTGGAGGAGGGGGGGCGGGTAGGGGTCAAGCCTGTGATAGGCAGGTGAGATTTCCTAATGACTCATAAGTAAGAGGCAAAAGAGAAAGTAGACATCCCTAACTAAAGCTTCCCAGTGTGCATCAGACCCTAGAATTGAATGGATTCCATGAGAGCCCCTCTTCCTGTCTGCCTTCTAGAGGATTGATAGTGCTCAAAAATGGCTAAAGAAAGGTAGAAGATGGTCCAAGCCAGAATCTTCTGAGGAACAGTTGTAGAATATTCTTTCCCAGGTCCCTGTATCTTCCATGGGCAGCACCTATATGCTAGTTAAGTAGTTTGCTAGTTGACTTTGTTGAGAATTTGGGTTCTAAGCCAGGTACCCTGAGTTGGGATTTTAGCTTTTCCTTTACTAGCTGTTTGACCTTTGTCCAGTTACTATCTCTTTATCTACCCAGCTGGTGGTAGTCATGGTAACTATTGGATAGCTCCTATCAGAATGAGAATTACTCTGTGTAAACTGCACGTGCCTTCCCTGTCATCTGAGGGACTATTCAGTTGCTGTTCCATTTCCTTTTGTATCTTGAACTTAATTTTATTCAGAAGAAAATGTCAGCTCTTGACTAGGTATGCGAGGTATAGGCCTGTAATCCCAGTTACTCAGAAGACAGAGATAGGATGACCTTGGTGCAAGGACAACCTGGCAAAGTCAAAAGCCCCTATCTGAAAAACAAACTAAACCAAAACCAATTTTTTTAAGGAAAAAGAGAAAAGGTATGTATGGCTCAAGTGGAAGAGCACTTGTCCCACAGCATGTGGCCCTGAGTTCAACCATCAGTAACACCAAAACAAAATAAACACACAACTTTGAGCCTTTCCCCAACTCTGTGAAGAAGTAAAAAGGTAAATCAAGTGGGATTACCATTCTGGATACTCACCTACTTTAAGGACACTAGAATCATATACTTGGCCAAGCTGTTTTCATTTCATTTGAAAGCTTTGCAATTTGAGTTATGAGAAATCATAAGACACTGTCAACCACTTAGCAACTTTTGCTAAACACAAATAATTGCACTATAACAACAAATTATCTGGGAATCAGAAGTCATACCTCTAACCAGCTCTCTTCCCTACTTCCCTCTGCTTCCTCCGGGAAGAATTCCTTGACCAGAAGTGCACCCCTTCCCAACGACTCCCAGGCCCGCAGTGGCGCTCGATTTCACACATCCTACGACAAAAGATACATCATCAAGACCATTACCAGTGAGGATGTGGCCGAAATGCACAACATCCTAAAGAAATATCACCAGGTAACTTTTCTTTCTCTTTATTTGAATCTCAGAAAATCATGTCTAGTTGTAGACCAAAGGTCTCAATGTAGAGTTAAGAAATGTTCACAACATATTTGACATTAAGATCTCCTCTGGCCTGCTATCTGAAAATTACTGCAACAAGATTACTGGCCCTTAACATTTAAGAATGCTGATGCTATGAAGGTCATTGGTTACTTACATAGTAGTCTTACTTGGAATACCTTCTACGTGGGATAGCTTCAGTGAGTTACCACCCTGATGTTAAAAATCACTGTTTAAGAAGATTCTGCTCATGTCCTGAGTCAAGTGTTGAATTCCTACGTCTTTATCCATTTATGCATTAAATATCCTGCTCTTACTGGTCCTTCTTGACCTGGCCCAGAGAGGCCCATCCTCAACCCTCATTCTACAATGGAGAAAATTAACTGATTTGAGAAGGTATATGGGTCTACTTCTCCTCCCTTTTATCCCCAAGGATGATCCCTTTGTTAATTCCTGTGGGGACAATTAGCTAACCCTTGAGGGCAGTGTTCTCCCTCTTGTGGAATAACAGATCTGCAAGCTGAGCACAAGTTCTCAAGTCCCAAACTGATCTGGAAGAGGCCTCACTCAGTGTGGAACCGTAAACGTAGAATGTTCAGAAGCAGACAGTCCTGGGTTCAAATCCCAACCCTGTCACTAACCGTGTGATGTCTAGACTTTTAAATTTTAATTTCTTCAGGGGTGGGAACCTTTTTTTTTTTTCTGCCAAGAGTCATCTGGAAATGTATAACGTCATTCTTAAGCCATGCAAAATCATCAGAACAGGCAGATGACCAAGAGGATTCCATGAAGCGCATATGTGTCTATCCTGTCTTGTACCAAATGATAAGGAAGTTCCCCACCCCTAGTTAACATAACACATATCATAATATAGCATCATAGTTAACACCTAACTATGTCCTCCTGACATAGTGTCTGACACACACTAGGTACTTATTATATGATCCTGGTGGTGGTAGAGGTGGTATTGTTACCATTAAAACAATGTCTACCAACTGGGCACTGGTGGCTCGAACCTAAAACCCTAGCTACTCAGGAGGCTGAGATCGAGATTACAGTTCAAAACCAGCCTGGGCAAAAAGTCTGTGAGATTATTAGCTCCATTTAACCAGCAAAAAGCCAGAAGTGGAGTTGTGCTCAAATAGCTAAGAGAAAGTGCCCAGACCAAGTACTGGCACATATGCATGCACATGTGCATGTGCACACACACACACACACACACACACAAATCAAAGTAATAATAACAAGGTCTACCATATAACAGTAGCTAACAGCAATAAGTCATCTGGAGAAATTACAGTCTTAGAGTATGAGTGTGACTATTGTTCCAACCATTACATTGAGGGCACTGATACTGAGTCAATACTATCCTCTGGACACTGGAAGTTTCAGGTCAGCATAATCAAGGTGAGAATACAGGGTTGGGTTCCCGTGAGGGCCTTCTTCCTGGCTTGCGAATAGACATTCACTTTCTCCTGTGTGCTCACTCTGGGCAAAGGAGAAAACACAAGAGCTCTCTGCCACCTACTACAATAAAGGCACTATTTTCATCCTAAGGACACCCCCCCCCTGCCCCCCCCCCCCCCCCCCCCCGTCCCAGCCAATGACCTTATCACCTCCCAAAGATTAGGATATCAGCAGTGAATTTTAGGATACTATTCACACTGAAACCATTACAAAGTCATACTTTGCTTGTAACCTCACTAGCTCCAAATTTTCATCAAAGGTAAAGAAAGACTGGCTATCACAGAGAGCATTCAAAGTACTGTGAGCTCTGATTGCATTAAGAGAAAGAGTCTCAGAATTTAAACACTCTCATTCATTATCAGCCTCTCAGAATGTCTGCTTTGAAGGCAGCTCTCATGTGTACTTGTATGCTCTGAGGTGTTTGTTTAAAAGCATTACATTTGGTCAGGCTGTAGGCTCTACTATTGTACATTATTGCTTGGCAGTTGCTATTCTAACGATCTTTGCAAATGTGATCATTTGCATTTTGCTTATAGCGAAGTCTATTCAAAAAATAAAAATACCTTTGTGCTGCATTCTGCTTCCAGAAACTTGGTACTGCCTCTAATTTGTTTTCTAAAAGCATTAGTCAGCCTTGAAGTTCATTGAAATCTAATAAATCTTTTATAGCAGCTATCGCTTTGGAAATTTGTTCTACCAGGCTTACTCTATTGTCTATTATAAAGGAAATCTTAAAGTGTCCAGATAATACCTGCCAGTGTAAAGACATGAAGGGCCCACCTTAGTGAACTGAGTCACAGATTATATCTCTTAACACCTCACCTTCTCCTCTAGCATTTTCTGGCTTCCCTCTCCAGAATTTAATGTCGTACCCATGTGTATATATTTGTAATTTCCTCTTGATTGTCTCGGAATATCCAAAGAAAAGAGTTTTCTCACAGCTGAGAACATACTATTCTGAGAAGTGGCTGTGATGCCATTCGAATAAAATGGATATGCAGTTCATTTATCCACTGTGTGTGTGTTGGGGAGGGGGGGAGCAGTTACTGAGGCTTGAACTCAGGGCCTAGGCCCTCTTTCTTAGCTTTTTTACTCAAGGTTGGCACTCTCCCATTTGAGCCACAGCTCCACTTCCAGCTTTTTGCTGGTTGAGAAGATAAGAATCTCATAGACTCTCCAGGTTGGCTTTGAATAGTGATCCTCAGATTTCAGCCTCCTGATTCAAGAGGAGCTAGGATTACAGCACTCAGTGTTCTTGTGTGTTCCACGGCTTGTTGAAATTGCTGTTTATGGGGTCTCCCAAGTCTTGGGGGGGGGTTGAAATTCCTTAGAGACCCTGTCCAATATTGTATCAAACCAGTTTTGGTTTTCCTTAACAATAAATTCAGTGTACCTTCAGGCAAAAGAGTTATGCAATTTACTCAGGTGGCCCTTTCGACTTTGGCTGCCAGGAAGCTCAGAGTAACAAGTGTGCTTATAAAATGTTGCTAAGGAGGTTAGAGGTGTGGCTTAGGTGGTAGATGCCTGCCATGGAGCAAAAGCATCAGATACTGAGTTCAAGTCCTAGCCTCTGACAAAAATAAATGCTGCTAAGATTAATTAGGAAGTTTTAGGCTCATTTCCGATTCCAATTTGTGCCCTTTTCCCATCTTTTACATTTTCTTTTTCATCTGTTTTATCTTACATTCAGTGAATATAGTTGTGCAGGTAAGGGGAGGGGCAGGTACACCCTGGCCAACCTGATCCTGTACATGCACCACTTCCAGACAGGCTGAGCTGAAATTTTACAGGTGGAGAACTCAGCCTTTATGTCCTCACATAATTCCATGCGCACAGACCCATCTAATACCTCCCATTCTATTCTGAGATGCTCAGAGGCTCATGGTTAGGGGTAATTAGTATGTCTTTATTTTTACTTAATAGAGATTTACACTCCCGTTAGGATTTGTGTCTAGTCTCACAAGTTTCTCTCTCCTCTCAGTTAATGGTCAATTCTTCTGTTTCTTTTTGTTTTGTTTTGTTGTTGCTACTATTGTATATTTACCTTCCCATTAGCTCTGCTTCTGAATTGCCCAACTTTGGACTAGTAGTAAGCCTTATTGAAATTGCATATCCATAGAAAAGCTGGTCTCCTGTGATGCTTCTCTGTAGATAGGCTTTCCGACAGCTTTGTCAACCCACAGCCCTCTTTCCTTTCCGTTTGTCATTGTTGTTGTTGTTTTGTTTTAATGAAATGCATTCCCTGTTACAGCTATATTCTGCAGGGCTAAAACTACCAGGAGCCTTACCTCTGGAGAGGGTTCTTGCTGTTTGACTAAATTCTTCCTGGGATTAATTTTCTGATAAACTTAACGGAACAAGTGAGACTCCAGGGAGGAAAAGGAAGGAGGCCCCACCCGGCCCTTGGGTACTGAGTTTGTGATGTTGTTGCCCAAAAAAGAATGTGAGGACACAACAAGGTAGAGAGCAAAACAGTTCATTATTGAAGAACAGCAAAAGAAAGACAGATAATCCATTTGCAGGCCCACCTGGTAACAGGGCTGTGAGTGCTGATATCACAGGCCCGCATGGTAAAAAGTAGATTAGGGCAGTTGTTCCAAATTTACCTTAAAGAAAGTACTGCCCTTTGATTGGACACCTAATAGATTTAATCATTTTTCCTGTTACATTGTGTGATCCATTTGGCCCAGAGATTTCAAGGTCTACTCTACAGATAACTAAGCATCACTTGGCACAAAAGATGGGCTCTTTTAGATGTTCCCTTAAATACAGATCTCCATCCTTTAGATAGTATTTTCTTTTGGAAACATTTTTGTGCCCAGAGAAGTCATTGCCCTAGGTGTTTTGCGGCTTAAGAGCAAGAATTTGGACCTAGCATACCGATACAGGTGCCAGTGTGGCCACTCTGCTCCTAATAAGAGCCCTTCAATATTTAGGTAGAGTACTTCATGGGTGTTATACAGAGTTGGGGGGGAGGTGGTTCTTTTTTGTCTTCTTTGTTTGGTGCTAAGAATTGAACCCAGAGCCTTGTATGTGCTAATAAGCAAGCTATCTACCCCCAACCCAAGTTATTTTGCTTTCAGTGTTATTTGCAGATCTTTACTGTAGTGGGAAACAAATGGAAATAAGAACATCCATGTTTGCATGTATATGCGTTATCTCAGTGTAGAAATTCCTGTAAATACTACAGAAGGATGTTTGTTCCTTTTAACCCTGATTTTCTGAAACTAAGAAAAAGCACTTTTGTTTGCATAAATGTAGTCATTACTAAGTTGTTCTTAGTTATTGTTGTTGCTTTTACTTCAGAGCTATTTTAGATCCAAGTAAATTATAAATCTGGACACTGTTAGCTCACATCTGTAATCCTAGATATTCAGGAGGCTAAGATCTATGGATTATAGTTCAAAACCAGCCTGGGTGGGAAAATTTCTGAGACTCTTTATCTCCAATTAACCACAAAAGAGCTAGCAGTGGAGCTGTAGCTCAAG